CATTTTATTGGGGGTTTTCTCCTGGATTTCTTAATCTAAAATAATATTTAAATAATGAAAAAAACTCAAAAGCAAGAAGAATCGTTTATTATTTTGGATCCGGAACAAACGATCTTTCATGGACGCGTGGCTCATTTTGAGTGGCTAAAAAATCTGTGGACAAAATTTTAACCGACACTTTTTCTTCTCAAAAATTTCAACCCGAGAAACAACCCTCTTCTTTCTCAAAAATTCGAACACTTCTTCTCCAAATTCTCGATCTCTCCGCCGAACCCGTCGTTATCTCCGACGATTTCTCCGACCCGATGCCCGAGTCCGTCAATTTCTGGTTCTCTCCGCCGACATGATGCCTCAGTTCCTCGTCGATAAATCAGTAAGCGATTTCTGTCCTTTTAATTTTTGCATGTTCCATCTCTCTGTTTCCTGAGTTACTTAATCGATGGTTTAACCTTGGAACTTTTTTGAATCTTTTGCAAAAGGGACCTTAATTTACTGTATTTTGAACCGTCAATGAAAGAGACTCCTGAATTATCAGAAACTTCATATTTCAGTAATAAATTATTCTGAAGAGGAAATTACTAAGAAACAGAGTTAATTTTGGATCGAAATATCATGGGAAGAAGATAGGACAGTGAATGAAGTTGACGAAGAGTGAGTTCCAATGGTTGACCAATGTCCACCACTCTTTCTTAACTGTGAAATGGTTTATTAATCCACCGACAATATCTTAAGCATATAGTCTGAATCTTTACCACTCCTTTGAATTTGAATATTCTTTGCAACCACACCAACAGTAGCAATTTTTGAATACTACCAAAAATAAGAGTAACTATTAAACCGAACCAAACGTAAACGTTGGGATATTTTCTGGGTATATGGGGCATACTTGAACGTCCTCCTTGCGTTACATTGACATGGTCTTGTTTGTGTAGCTGGATTGGAACGAGAGAGTAAAGACAACATCTCAAGACCTAGACTTAGTGATCATCATTACCTATAAGAAAAAGTCTCAATGAGATGAGAGAGAACTCAGAAGAAGAACAAAGTTAGAGAGAGAGAAAAAAAGGTAAATGATGAAGTGACAGAGTCTGATCTTGTACAGCTCTGTAATTTCTGAACTTTCATTGTACAATTTAATAAAGATTGTTATGGATATGCATTACACTTTGTTGCGTTATAATTAAATTTGTCTTTGGAATGGTGCCCATTTGTGTGATACGAAATGCTTCTGAGGGAACTTGTTGATGTTTTGTTTAGCATATTGTGTGACTGTTGCACTGATGGTTATAGTAGTTTTGTGAAATTGAATCAGAAACATCTTGAGAATTTGCATTGTGAATGAAGTGATTGTGATGAAGTTATGATAGTAAAATGTTTACAGTATGCTATTTTGATAGTAAAACATCTTTATTAATTTTTTAAAAAAGAAACCCACTTAAAAATTCTACCAATGGACCATACAAATCATTGGATTTCTTTACAAGGGTTTTCAACCCAAATTTATTGATAAAAAATTGCTAAGAAACCCAATATGGTTTCACCAATAATCATGCTCTAAGACACGCTATCGACCCCAAATTTTGTGAACAATGTGGAGTTAAATTTTTAGGTTTTGTTTTGATTTTTTTGCTCTGGAACTTAGTTAAACCTTGGAGATTTAGACGTAATAATACAACATTATTATCTTAATTTCTACGTCAATAGTCACGAGTGTAGTTTAGCTCTATGTTAATTTCTTACACCTTGTTTTTTATTATTACAATCCTCTCTTTGAAACGTTTTTCTTATTCAGTAAAAAGGACACATTATAAAAATAAAAACAAATAATCACGATTGCTATCTCATTACACTGAGCGTATCCCATAAAGGGCATCTACTCAACATTTTCATACTTAAGTCAGTACTTACGAATTTTGTATAATTTAGCATTACCTCCCCAAATCCACCTGAAAATATACACAAAGACTCCTTTAATCTATAAGTTAATCATGTTCTAAATAGTGACACTTAAACCATTTCATTAAAACAGAAATATATATTAGATATCTCCAACCAAACTCACATTACATTGGATTTCTTATTGTATATCCAACCAAAACGATCCATCCACAATGTAAAGCAAAACTACGTATATATAAACATGGAAACATCACACGCCAACAAAATCAAACACTCTTGACACATAAAAAGTCAACACCAATCAAACACAAAAAGTCAAAGTCCAGCGTTGACCGGCACTCCCGCAGCCGTGATCCAATAATTCCCGTCCAAGAAATTCTCCACCGTGAATTTCCCCGCCTCCGTCGCCGTCTTTATAACATGATATCCCGGCCACGTAACTCTACGAGACAGACTTGCTCCGGCGCCGGTATTAGCATACTCGCCGTAATAAAGAGTCTTCAGAGCAAAGTCGCCGCTCCAAGGCAACCATCCCGCCGGATTCACAAGCCCTCCGAGATCACATTTCATGAAAACCGTCCTCGAGTACGATTTCCACGGCCGGCCTAAGTAAGTCTCCGACGCCGTAGCCACCGTAGAGCTCTGGATGACGAAGCCAGTGTTCTCGTTAGGGTCTTTGCGTGATTGAGCAGTGACAGTGTTTTTCTGGCCGCTCATCGGTTTACGAGCGTAGATGTTGCAGTTTTGGAGATTTGCGGTTGCGTCTCCGAAGATGAAGTCGACGGTGCCGTGAACGTCGCAGTCTCTCAAGAACTGACGGCGAGAGTGAAGGTAGAGAGTGTCTTGATAGCCTTTGAAAGAACAGCCGTAGAAGACGGCGAAATCTGAACCTGATCGGAGAGCCACCGCTTGGTGTTTCTGTGGACCCGCCGTGTTCTCGAATGTTATGTCTCGTCCGATAAAACCGCTGCCGGAAACAGCTGGTGGCCGGTTGAAAAAAAAAACTTAGTTAAATGTATGAAGAGTAAATTATGTTTTTTTTCATGTTAATTATATGTTGACAGAGAGAAAAAGTAATTTAAATCCAAAAAATGAAATTGTGTTTAGAGTTAAATTTGAAATAAGATCAAAGTAATTTTTTTAATTTAATACGGAAGTCCTATAAACTTAGTACTATTTATAGTAATATTTATATAAAAGACTATATATCTATAAATGTGTAAAAAAAAGATATAGTATGAATAAATTTTACTTTTTAAAAAGTATTTTTTTCGATACTTCTCAACCATATATGTATGCTAATATAGCACGGACGACGTACCAAAAGTTGCGGATCGAAACGTCGTCGTGCCATCTTTAACGTTCCTATTTCCGGTGACAATGGTAGAGTCGATGCCGTCTCCGATAACCATCAAATTCTTGATCGATTTCTTGATCTCCACGTTTTCTTGGTAAACGCCGGCTTTAACGTATATCACAAGCCTCTTGTTTCTCCGAGAAAATTTGGCTGCTGCGTTTACCGCTTGTTGAATACTTGTGTAACGACCCGAACCGTCTTTAGCTACCACAAGATCGGCTTTGGCTTTGGTCGTAGTTCCCGAATCTTGCAGAAGTTTACGGTCGGAAAAAGGTATCCACGAAGGAAATTTCTCGTCGGAAAACATCAGTCTCCGACTACCACCACCTCCGCCACGACTTCCTTGTTTGCTAAACTTTGTAAACGTTGTCGCTGGATATTTCTCAGCCGTAGCCGCAGCCTTAGCAACCGCCAAAGAGTTGCTTATAGACTTAGTGAGATTCCGGTGAGAGTGTATAGGAAAGTATTTTGAATATGATGAGGTTAAATTAAAGTCTTTAAATCCGTTTTTGCAAGTGTCTTGATTAGCTATGGCGGCGCTTAACGAGGTTTGTCTATCATGCGCCGAAGAATTTTGATCGTAGGATCGCCGAGAGTAGTTGAGTTGGTCTATGGTGTCCTCGTAGAGCTCCAAGCAATCGAGCAAAGCTGACGTGGCGTGTTTGTGGAGATAACGACGGCGTCGTTTCACCGTGGAGACGAGGCGGTGGAGGTGCATGGCTTGGTCCATGGTGGAGCTAACCACAAGGTCGTGGAAAGTGAGCCCATCGGTTTGGTCGTCTAAAGTTTTGAGAGGTGAATTGGACATGTGGTGGGCGCATACGTTAGGGTATGGTGTTTGTTTGCATGAAGTTATGTAATGGGCATTGTGCTGAGAGATTGATAAGAAGTAAATGATTGTTATAATATATTTGGTGTATAAACATTTGGGAGGTGTAAGTAGGAGTTTGTGATCCATTTGTGGGTTTGAAAAGTATCAATAGAGTTTTTTTTTTTTTTTTTAATTTTGGATGAGGAGAGATATATTGTGGTTTCTCAAGAAAGTAGAGTTATATATAATAAATATATGCAAAGTACTGTATACAAATGTATGGATACTCTCTATCTCTCAGTCTCATAAATGAATGTGTACACGTATGCAGCCACGTAAGAGAGTGTGATTTATGTTTGATTTTTGAGGAAAACGTGTAACTATAATTATCCTCACACATTGTTATGGTTTATTTTGTTATTATAGAAAGTTCAAATATATACCAAAGTTTTGAGCTCAACAAATAATTTTGAAATCGGAATTTATATGAGAATGGCATCAGTTGTCCAGATTAAAACTTAAGTAGTATACTATTAATAAAATTCTTTTACTATTGTTATTTTGTTTATTACCTTTAAAAAATACAGTTCATGTATTAAGCCATGCATTGGAAAATAATTAATGATCCTCACGTTAATGTGAACAACCCAAAGTAAACATTTAAAAATAAAAATAAAAATAATATCTGATAGAATCCAAGTTAGCTAAAGCCATTGGTAAGAACTTATGACATAAACATTGAGCATATATCAGAGCTTTGCGTAGACGATCTCTCAAAAAATTAAAATAACATTAGAGTTTAAACACATTTCGACCCAATCGAACTATATTATTGATTCGATCTAAAGCTGATTCGTTCCAAAATTGATTCTTATCCTACTTGAAACTAATTATATAATAGAATCTATCGAGATAAATGGTTAACCATTATTTTGAATATGTTAAAAATCCTATATTAGAGATGAGAAGATAAAAAAAGGAAGATGAACAAATTCATTTACTATCAGTTGAGTTAGAATCCTAAAAAGGTAACATAACAAACAAAGTAAACAAAAGTTGACAAGTGATGTGAAATAGTATAGCAATTAGCAAACTTTTTGACTATTTTAGTACGATAAAACGATTTTTGCCAACTAAACTAACATATATAAATTTTTCAAAAACAATTGTTAAATGTTCGTGTGTTAGCTGTGCCATTAAATCAAACAGTGAATTATATTTTTGTATGTTCTCTAAAAGAACGCTTATACTGGTAACAACAAAATTTTGTGAATAATGATGAAATAGAGTTATTGGAAACTCTGCCGCTCCAACCACAAAAATCACATATCACCAATAAAAATCTATAATTTGTTCTGATGTGAAATCCACCAACCAATCGTTAGGGCGTTTGAAGTATATATCGAAATCAGAGGTCGAAGGCTTTTAGCCTTTCACTCACATGAGTTTCGTGTGAGCTTGACCAAATTAAAGTATTCGAAAGTTAAAATTCAATCCGTCTTTTGTGGAAATTAATTTGTTTCCTCGCTGAATAAGTTTTCTTACTTTATCCTTTATTTAATGTGTTTAGGTCTATAAAAGCGACAATTGGATCTACAGTTTTCTGTCACGTAGCTAGATCATAACAATTAATCATGATTTTGATTAACCCTAAATAATAAAAAGTATGGAAGCCATACGACTAGTTTTTAAATTCTAACATACATTGTTGACAATAGAGAATAAAATAAAATTTTTTAATTAGGTGAATGCTCCATATATTTCGGTATGAAAAACAACTACAGTCAATGCACACAGCACACATGTATAAGCATTTCCGCATTCAAAATTCTATTTCATATGCGTGGAAATAATGGATAATTCTACATTTGGTATACAGCTTACGAACATTTAGTGCCAATAAACGTATGACTTTGTCATACATCATATCTTATTATAATGGTTACACTACAAAAGAAAAGAAAAATGACACTAATGGAAGTAATCCGTGTCACTAATTAGAAAAAAAAATGATAGATGGGGGTAGAACTAACTATTAAGTATTAACTAACCTCTCATTATTATTATTATTATTATTATTTTTTTTTTATTTTTTTTATTTTTTTTTGTCGATGGCCATAAAAATAAAAATGTAACGGAATGAGCACATATATACATATACTGTTTTTCTCGCTAATGACGAAACAGCAAAATATTTGGCGCATGCATGACGATAACACATATACATACACAAATCTGTTGAATTCATAACACATGAAATTTTGTATTTGTACTTATAGATTTGTGACGGAAAATCGATAAACTTTTTGTCCTCAATTTATACTATATTTTGGTCGCCCATCACTATTTTGTACCAAAAGATATTTACGTATACTGGGAGATTTATTAAAAAATATATATACATTCAACTCTATTGTTAATACGAAGAAGAGTGTTGAAATGGCAGTGAATAAGCAACGTTTTCAAAGTTATTACAAAAGTCTTTTCTCCAACTCAGAGTGACTAATAAACTTTACGGTTGGCAGTGAATAAGCAACGTTTTCAAAGTAATTACAAAAGTCTTTTCTCGAACTCAGAGTGACTAAGAGCAAGTCCAGTAGTAAACCCCATAGAGGGATTCATCAGCATTAAAAAACAATATTTTTCGGTTTGGGTGGGTTGGGAAGAACTCGAGTGAAAATGTGGTCCAGTAGTGAACTCCATTTTGGGGTTCATCCCGCAAATTGACGTCGGTCTAGACGATTTCGACGGAGTCGTCGCGAATCACAGGTGAAGAGGAAGAGAGGAGAAGAAAAGAGGGGAAACACACGAAATGAATTTTTTGCCTGCAAAATTACCACAAAATCTCCTTCAATCGCAATGTGACACATGGCGAAGAGACGGGGGCGTCGAGCTCACGCGGATGAACCGATACGTCAATAATGAGCTTTATTTCTTTTTTTTTTAAATACACTTTGCCTATGAACCCGGGCCCGAACTCCTTCTCCAAACCCCCACTAAACATGTTTTAAGAAACTTTACGGTTTTAAGAGAAATTATATCATAGGTCTCAAAAGAAATTTTATTACGAGCTAAAATTTACAACTAAAGAGTACAAGCTAAGACTACTAGTTTGAATTACAGAGATGATAGATCGGGTATTTACTATTGGGAGTGGGAGTTTGTCTTCGAATTGAATTGTTTGTTACGTAGAAATCGACTAAATTTACTTTCTTCTATGTGATATAATAAGAAGTGGATATAGGCTTTGTTTTGCTTATTGTGTGTTATGAGTGTTGATAGACAGCAGTGCGGGTAAGTGGTAGTGGTAGTTCGTGAAATGAGTTTGGTGTTTTTGGACATATCAACAAAACATGCTAACTCTCTCACTAGATCGCTTTTTTCATATGCATAGCTTTTTCCGTGAAGAATCTATTAAATTTTCATATAGTGCAAAAAAAATATCTAAATGATCTAAATGTGCTGTATTTGCTGCTCATTATGTTTGATTTCCATGTGAAGCATACAACAAATTTATACGATTGTAGTCCCAATTTACTTTTTTTCTCATGGTCATGTGTATCCACGACCACTCGATTATGATCTGAAGATTTTAAAACAATTTGGATCTGAAATATTCGATAGTTCAATTACTGTGTATATTTGATACTAAATTGAAAAAAGAGAAAGCAATGGAGCGTAAGAAAGATATAATTGCACGAAATATAAGGATGGTGTCTTTAAGTGGAGTCGAAAGGTGAATACAGCTGCATTCTAAATATGGAAAGGTCCCGTAGGAGAAATCGGGTTGTGTACGACTCTACCAATCTTCAGGTTTCCTTATTCACCAGGTGCTTTCCATTTTCATTCATTACGAAAGCAACTCAAATATTATTTTTGAAGGATTCGCCCTCTCTTTCATTTACTCTTTCTAAGTTTCTTTATTTACAGCAAAAGCAACTCGGGATATATTGAAGGGTTTATCACCTTCTCTTTCAATTACTCTTTCGAATTCTTTACTCCCTTTCGACTTCAAGATTGACGTCTCTCCTCACTTTGCAAAATTTAAATATAAATGGTTCTTTTTTATATGCATAGAATAGTAATGGTTTCTATCAACTATGATACAATCATACAATATGCACCATCTCACCGCAAATAAAACTCGAATATGGTGAGTGTGACCACCAATGAATTGCCCAATTCAGATTGTGTTGTATGTATGTACACTTCTTTGATTACACTTAACAAAATTTTAGGCTAGGCAAATAAATGTTGAGGTATCAAATGAAGTTAACTGTTAAGAGGCCAAACTTTCAAACTCATACTTATAGTTACAAAACTGCAATAACAAAACTTAATCATGCAAAAGAGAGAAAACAAAATCCGGAGAAGTATAAGCTTTACGAAAACTCAGGATGTTGGCCAGGATTGTTCAAAATTCCGTCAAGAAATACAAAGTCTCCCTGAGACTTAATTATTCATATAATGAGAAGAAAGCATCCCATATATAGGTGCAGAGAAAGAAAAAAAGTGTATGATTTGAGATCGTTGAACTTGACCGCGTTCTTTATGTTATGACGGTGGGGGCTGATCGGCCGGTGAATTCCTCCATCTTGGATAGCTTCAGAGCTAATTCAACCTGTGAATCACAAATCAACAACAATTCCGCATTAGCATTACCCTTTTGGTATTAGTTAGAATAATATATGGATTTGAAGGGTTTTAATTCTTTAAACATCTGACCAGAGGAGACAGAGCTTCATGGGACTCTCGTCCGGTTTTTGAAGCATCCCTCTCGTACTGTTCAATGTAGAGTCGGATGGTTGCTCCTTCCGAGCCAGTTCCAGAGAGACGGAAAACCTTGATATGATTTTAGTTAGAACAAGAGAGGTTTAATTAGTACAGTATATGTTTAATTTCTATCACTTTGTTCTAAGCTGATAAATGCCTGAAGGCTCAAAAGTAACCGAATAAAAAGATGGACTTACAAGTCGCGAACCATCCTCAAACAAGTAACGGATTCCCTGGTGCTTGGAGATGGAGCCATCAACTGGATCTTTGTACTCGAATTCATCAGCACTGGAGACGTTCGCCACATCCGAACGAATTCCTTTCACAATCCTGAACAAAATCGAGAGAGAAACGAGGTTAGGAAAACAGAGTAACCAAACTGATTAGTAAGTACGTGTTCAAGTAGAAAAGGAAAGGATTTCAGAGAAGTGGAAGTGTGTGTACTTGTTGACTTCAGGAATTGAAGATTGCAATTTGATCAAATGCTCCATCAGGTCCTTTGCTTTACCTGCGTCTACATTCTTTGGAGACAAATTTTAAGATATCACAAACGGTTCTATTTGTTCCGCATAATACAATCACGAAACTTGGCAACTTTTACCTCATAGTCATAACGAGTGTAATAGTGACGGCCGTACGTAGCCCAATGCTGGCGGACAATGTCTTCAACGGTCACCAGTTTAGTGTTACCGTCAAGATTTTCCTTGTTCTTATGAGCAAGTATGGACATCCATGCAAGAACTGCCCAAATCCCGTCTTTCTCGCGGATATGATCCGATCCTGTGAAAGATCTTTCTTTCAGAACCCTACAAGTTGTCTTTAAGTTATTTACAGATACGTGTGTGTGTGGACATAGAAACTAACCAGTTCCAAAACTTTCTTCCCCACAAACAGAACACATCCCAGCATCCATCAGATTACCAAAAAACTTCCAGCCCGTTGGAACCTGATATGTGAATTTTATTAGAGATGTGAAATAATTTATGAAGTTAGGAGGAGAAAATGCTGGAAAGGAGTGCACGATGACATGTACCTCAAAGAACTTCAGATTCAAGCTTTTTGCAACGACATCCAGAGCAGCTGAGGTTGGCATGCTCCTGGAAAATTTATAATATTATAAAGAACTGTGTACGTAAAATTCATTTTCTTTAAATTATGCGAAAAAAAATAACCGAAGAAAATATGTGTTGAAAATGTTGGATACACAGGATTCTGCTATAAATAAAGAAACAGCCCGAGAGTATAATACCTTGCAACACCTTTCAAACCAGAGCTGAAGTACGGTATGGCCCCAATAGCATTTGCAGCAATTATGGCAACTGAATCTGAAGGAGTTACAAAGAACCTACACAAAAGACGAGATGCTTTTAGGTTTAAAACTTTTTATATTCCAGTTCTAAGTATGTATCTCACTTAAAAGATCATTAGTAAGCTACCTTTTACCAAGGATCATGTTACGGTCTGCATCACCATCAGCAGCCGCACCAAATTCTGGAGGTTCAACGCCGGTGTCGGATTTACCTAATCCCATTCGTGCCACAAGCTCCTTAGCATATGTCAGATTGGGATCTGGATGCCCTCCACCAAAGTCCTCCTACAAAAATGTTGTATTGTGGAAAATAGTGAGGCTGGTGGTGTATTTGTAATCATTTGAAGAATAGTATTTCTTAATTATAAACAAAAATAAGACCTTGGGTATGCAGTTCAATAACGCACTTTCTTGTGCACCGAGCTCTTCAACAAAGATGCGATGTGCATAGGCTCCAGCAACTCCATGCAATGCATCATAGCTTCATAGAACAGAGTAAAAATAACGTTGAAGCGATGCAATATATATTGGAAACTTAACTCAGAGGAAAATGTTCGGGAAGCAATGTAAGATACATACCAGAATGTAAACTTTGGAGACGAAAGCAATTTCCGGATGGATTCAAAGTCGAAGATTGACCTTGAAAGAGCGAGAAAATATTTTTAGTAAAACCACAGAGACTGCAGTAGGACAATCATGCACTTAAATTGAAGGAGGACTCACTTCATTAATTTAACGTAGTCATCTGCGGAATCAAAAACTTCAACATCAAATTTTCCTTCAGGTCCTTCAAAACTGGTTACACCGACGGAAGAAATATCAACCTGTTGCATTTAATCACAGATACAAAATCAACTTTGATTCAACAAAATACAAAGAATGGTAAATTTTGTAGTGAAATAAGAGGATTCTTTAGAATGTTTACATACATTGGGTAAATCTGCTATTGGGTACTCCTTGATTGTCTTAGTGTTCTCGTAAATCTTATCAGTGATTGATTCAGGAGCTGGTCCTCCATTTTCCATATTGTATTTGATTCCAAAATCCTGTATAAGAGGCAGGGATTCAACTCTTAGTCTTATCGGAGTTAGATATAAATAATATGAAACAATAGATGAATACAGAACAAGCAACTAAACAAAAAGGCACTGAGCACAACAGAGACAGAACAAGAACAGAACGGACCTCTGTAGGGCCACCAGGATTGTGACTTGCTGTTAAGATAAATGCTCCGGTTGCTTTTGATCCCTATAACCAGAGACTGGGGTAAGTCTCTCATCACAGTTTGCACTGTCGCACAATCATAGAGAAAAACCAACAAAAACAGATTGAAATAACACTACAACCATGAGCTTAGAGATAGAGATCTCACATCAGCCCCTGATCTTTCACGAATCACAGCTGACACAGCAGGAGTTGATAACAGAGTGTTTTTACCAACCCACACGCGTCGTACACCATTAGCTGCTGCCATCTTAATTATGATCTGTCAAGATAAGAAATAAGATTGTATGAAAAGCTGGAAAGCCTCATCGTCTTAAATACCAGGCAACAGATAGCAAGATATGTAACAGAAGCAGGTGAAAAACTTGCACGGAAGTTTTAGAGATCATCTTCAAAGATAAACAAAACCTTAACCTCTAATAACCTGAAATCTCTCTCTATAGCAGTTTTAGTTCAAATCTTAGAGATCGACACAAAGGTAGACATGTCAAGCATGGATAAATAGCAGGCCCTCCTAGATCTATGCTTATTACAAACAAATTATTACCGTTTTGTTAAACAAAAAAAATTTAGGTTCAATTGCCAAATGCCAATGTAGTACCATAACATAACACAAGAGTTCCCTCAAATATTGTAAAGACATGAGCACTAATTCATAATTCTACGCTAAGTATTAAATACATCGATTACTTTCAGGCCAGATTAAGAAGAGAAAGAACCACATTGGTTTTACCTGAACAGCATCCTTTGAGTAATAACGGCCATCACCAGAGACCACGAGAGTGGCACCTGCAGAATATATGCGATGAGCAAATATCTGAATAAGAACTGATATCTTACAAGAATCCACATAAATAGCAACCAAGATGAGTAAGAAAAAACTCACCTTTGACTTTCTCTGGTGTAAGAGCATTGAATGTCGCTTGGACAAAATTCTCTAGGTAATTGGGTTGCTTGAACACTTTCACCTACACAGTCAGAAAAACCATAATACGAATCAGAGAAACCAAAAGATGCCAGTTTGATGTATGCAAAAAAGTAGACCAAACAGTGGAAACTGTATAGATAGGATAAAACGATCAACCCAAATTCCTTTGATCAAAATAGTGTGTACCACAGCTTGGAAAACAGATCCGACATGGCTGAACAGTGAGTCTCAATAAACGTCATTGATCGTCATATATGAATTTGCATACCCATACAAACATCATTTATACTCGAAAAATGAATGCGAAATAAAGATCTGAAATTCGAGTAGGATTAAACAAAAATCCAATGCATATAGGGTATGTGTACATAATTGTATCAGGTTTAACATTCACCGCATATAATCTTCCCTCTAATATATACTCTAATTAGAGATAATGACGCGATCTCGAAGTTGATCCAAACAAATCATTTAAACATAAAACGAAAACCCAAACCCAAAGACGAAAAATGGGAAGAAGATTTACACAATTTTGTCATCATTCACTTTATCCGCATAATCATATGGATCAATGCGTAGATCAAAACTAATCGGATGGTTAATCTCAGCTAAAATCAAACTAAACAGATCGGATCCAGATCGAATTCGCTCGATTCAAAAGTACCTTCTTACGAAGACCAGAAGTTCCCGGTTTCTGGCCATCGATAGGTGATGTTGAGACGAGAGAAACCTTGAAAACCATATCCGCCTCGAGGATCAGAATTGGATTTTAGTCTGGACTATGGATTGTTAGAGAGAAAGAGAGGAGAGTGATGATGGTATAATAAGCTGTTTGAGAGTATAATCGACGCAAAGAAGTTGCTTAAGCTAGACGAGACCGCGACACGTGTGGATCGTCGCTTTTTTTACCTTTTGCCAAAGTGAGTGAAGTGGAACGTTTCTCTCGTTTTTTTTTTTTTTTTTTTTTTTTTTTTACTGACAGAAGTAAGAAAATCTCGGCCGTTTAGTTTTTAATCTAACATGCATTTAATTATTTTTGCTTGCGTAACATATCCCTTAAATTGTATGTTTTTCGTATACTAGGGCCTATATAGTATTCTAAAAGTACCACATGACAATCTACCTTTAACTGATTCCAACATTTACATGACACAATGTTGAAGAAATTATTCGCAAATCTTGAGTTTTAAGTAACAAGAACCAGAGACCACTTTGATTCAAGAAACAACAAACTCTCAAACAGGCAAATCTCTGAGTAACCGAAGAGCTTTCTGCCACTGTGGTCTCTGAGACATAACGATCCGTCTCAAAACTGGCACAGCTCCTGCTCTTATAATGGCTGTGTGATTCTCACTGTCCATGCTCAGGTTATACAATACTGACAAACTCGCCTCAACACACCGCTCGTTTCTTTCTTCTAGAAGCTTTACCAGCGGCTCGATCCCTCCATGTGAAGCAAGAGCTTGAGTTGACTCTGGTACTCCCTCTGAGACTATCTTGTTCAGTTCCAAAACCGCTGCTTCTTTCGCTTCTGGAGATGAGGAAAAGCTCAACTGTTCCACAAGCCTTGGGATTGTCTTGTAGAGAGTTACCTTTTGATACAAACGTGACAGAAGATGATGTTAAAAAAACCGGTAAAAAGTTTTGGAATCGAGATCTGGATTCATACACTAACACATACCTCTACGTTGATTGGATTGTTGTTGAGTGATTGGGAGGGAGATGAGAGAGAGGTGAGTTTGACAAGACAAGAGGCGACCCAGTCTTTGTAGTGTAGAGGGAGGCTTGATCTTAGGATTTTCCTGAGTAGTTCCGTGAATAGCGTCATATCCATGGTTTTTCGAAAAGACTCAGAGTCGAGAAGTTTTGTCAGTAGCCTTGAAGCAGCTGAAATTGTTAAACCAGCTTCTTCTAGCTCAAGAAGATGTTTCTCTAACTCCTCAGCTTCGTTCTCAGGTTCTGCATTTCCAAAAACAAAGTCTCATAAGTTGTGTCATGAAAATCACAGTTTCTTGGTGTAGTATCATTTGTATGAATTCAAACAGAGATATCGAAAAATAAGTTTTGTACCTTGCACAACTTTCTGACGGAGAGCAACATCCAGAACAGTTGTGATATCCTCGGAGACGATCGTGTCCACGTTTGGATTAATGACCATACCAAACTCGATGACAGAGATTGCCTTTCTCAGCAAGTTAGGAGAGGCTGCTTTCGCAATCTGGACGAGCCGAGAGATAACAGTAGCGTCCAGAACTTCCTTTCTGTTCATTCCACCCAATATTGAGTATTTGATCCTTCTAAAACAACAATAAGAAATGAGCTGAAAATACAAAAACCGAGACGAAGACTGACCTGGAATCAGCTTTTGATCCGTTCACCGGTCCTTCATAAAACTGGAGCATATAGAGAAATAGTTAAAAGCCAAATGAGAAGAGATTTAGTGCTAAGTGATAAAACAAAGAAAATAAACACACCTTGGATTCCATTTCCTTGCTAGGATCTAAAATATGAGCAAGTATATCCAGAACCTGCACAGCATTGTTTACAAAAGACCATTCCACGTCCAGTTATTCCAGTATAGCCTAGACAAGATATCAAAAGAATGAAGAAAGAAAGAAAACAAAAATAGACCTGTTCCGTGACGCTTAGTGAGATCTCTGGCTGCTTCAGTAGATTAACAAAAAAGGGAACTGCTCCTTCAGCTTCAATCCTCCGGCAAACGATGCGGCTGCATTTTTATCAAAGCATAATATAATCACAACCTCGGAGGAGAAACAGTTTAGTCAAAAAAAAAGTTGTGAGAGTACTCAAAAATAAGCACCTAAGAGATAAATTTTTCAAAGCATGGATGACAGGTAATTTAACAGCCTCTTTGTTGTTGTTGGCTAAAAGCTGAACCAAAGGCTTTACAGCTCCAGCTTCCATAAACGAAACCCGCATATCCTCATTGATACATGCATCAGCTATTGACTCTGCAGCTCTCGTCACTGCCAATTCATCTGATAATCCAAGCATCAATACCAAACGAGCCACACCATCAACGCACGGAAGAAGAGTAAGCTGCTGCTGTGATTTTCCAGGCCCTTCGGATTTGATTTCCTTCTCAAATTCAATTGCTCCAATACGGGCAAGGAACTGCTGATTTGTCCTCCCAACTATCGCTTTCATTTTGGCTTCGTCTACATCGTCAACGTTCTTGTCAACATTTAAACCAAGGAGCAACTCAGAGGCACCAAATCTAGAAGGAGCTTTTGCTGTCTGCTCGACCTTTATACCATCTGGTAAACTAGGCCAAGAATACAGATCCGGTCTGAAGGACTTGTACGCGTCTGCACCAATTATGGGAATGGGTACAACGCCTTCCTCAATGACGAGAATTCTGTAGTATTCGTCTTTGGCTAGCTCTAAAAGCACATTTCTTGCTTCTTTTCTAATGATTTTAGACCCTTTGTTTTCTGTATTATCGCCTTTCAACAGTTTTGCCTGTATTGTAATTGGGAAGGTAAATAAGCAAGCTGAAGTACAACGAACTAATAGACATTTCTTTCCATATACAAAACCATTCCCCTAAGAGATGCTCAGCAAATTTCACATCCTTTCAGTTATTTCAAGTCTCACCTTGAGTATATATCAATCACTTCACTCTAACGTGCCACAGATCAAATCATAATAGATGAATAGTTGGATGTAAAGCTAATGATCATTAGATAATTTGATTCTATGAGGAACAGAAAGCAATGGTCTTACCAGTTTCGGTATGACTCCTACTTCTACCATAATCTTATGGTTCGAGCGGCTAAGGGCTAGATTAGCCAAGACGCCACCAGCTGCTTCCTTTACGTTTACATCATCATCTTCAAGGAAACTAATGAGTAGCTTAAGGATATCAAAGTCAGCAACTTTTTCCCTTATTTCTTCATCCACAGTCAGATTCCAAAGAGCACAGATACTTTGTTCTTTCACCTGGAAAAACAAAACTATCCAACATTCATACCTCCGAAATCCATTAAAGCTCAAAAAGTATACTACTTTGGGAATCATAACCCTTCATACCACTGTAGCTAACGAAGGCCGGCTCAACAGAGCGGTTATCTCTTCCAACGCTCCACTCTCAGCAACAGATTCTCTGTACAGATTCACTGAAGCTATAGACCGTATTAGCCCAGCAGCAGCTTCACAGGTGGAACTAGACTCGGACTTGAGAAGATTGACAATGAGATTCAAACAACCATGAAACTGCATAATGGCATCAACGCATTTCTTTCCACCCAAAGAGTACTTCCATAGCGCTTCTATGGCCTGTTCTCTGTCCAGAGGGTCGTTGTCTAAACCGAGCATTCGCACAAACAAGGCTACATAGCTATCACCAAGGCCTGAAGAGTTTTCACTCCTCACTTCTTCACCATCTTCAAACTAAGCTTATACGCCAACAATCAAAAAGACACAAAGCATTAACCTTTAAACCTATAATCGAACGTCGTTATTTTTCCGATACTACAACAATCAGAGGGACTTACAGAAGCGACAGAGCCTTTATCTGCAGTATCGGAGTGTCCAGCTTCTCCACAACTGTGGGCACGATGATAGCTTGAGTTGGGCTCGGAGAAAACATGACGAAGACGATGATTCGAGTGGGTAAGTATCGGAAAGGGGCTGAAGGAGACCTCGCGTCTTCTTCTAGGTTGTTTTCTGGCTTGGACAGATAGAAACTGGATTTGGGTGTTGGAGATTGGCCATAGACGGGAACAAGGGAGCTCGAGAACGCCGACACCGGAAGCTAGTGTAGAGAGTGACATGAAGAAGAAGCGAACCAACTCAAACGTTGTATTGTTGTCTCCGTTCTATCTGATTCTTCTAACCTTTTTCTCTTACAGTGTTCGCTGGGTGATAAATTAAGACTAATATAGTCGATATTTAGGAAAAGGATTTTTTTTTTTTTTCTGGTCAAAAATTTTCCTTTTTTTTACAACCGCACTGATTCTCTAGGCTATAGAAGAATAACCGGAAATTTTGGAACGAGATTGAATTATGTTGCGATCCGATGACACTCAGGATTATGAAGCCAAATCATGATCTCGCTGAGCATAAGATGGTTTGGAACGCAAATTCATATGATCATGAGAGTGAGATTTTCTGATTTTGTATCCTAAACTTCCAAAGTTTTGAGATTTATCAGACTGTAGAGTTCTTACTTGTTAGTTGTGTCTTTGAAAAGCTTCTGCAGGTTTACTTGTTTCTCAACTTTAAGACCTTCCAAAGTCGAAAACTTTTTCTTAGGTACCAATTTATGCCTCATTTGCACCAGAATCGTATATGATGTTGAACTTGTGTACAAAAACTTAGATTTGATCTTTGGGTTCTCGGAAAAGTGAAAACAGAGACTATGTTCTCCATATTTAATGAGTTTAAGAGCGAAATGAAATTTAACTTTTATTGTTCCCGGAAAGGAAGAAAAAAAAATATGAAACATAAAAACAGTCATTATTCTCAAACTAGAAAACAACATTCTCAACACCTTCTACAACTTGTGAGCTTTGTTTGAACAAACTCCCCACAAATAAAAGATTATAAGACAGAAACCTCTTCTTACTCATCAGCCTAACCTCTCCTAATTCTGGTCAGGTTTCAAAACTTCGTAATCAGAGAGCATAAAAAAGGCGGCTTTTCAAGTGGTTCTTCTAGACCGACGATAAGGAGACTTACTTCTCTTGCTTATCGTCACCAACCATGTTTTCATTTTCAGTTCTTAAAAGCTGTCATTACTGACTCAGTGAATTTGTTGAGATCCCACAACTCCACCTGGTTCTTCAGCTCTGCTATAGCCTCGGGGTTGGCAGACAGAGCAGCAGCACCTGCAGCAGCCAGGAGTGCAGTGATAGCTATACCTTTGATGAAGCCACCACCACTGGAGAGTTTCCCAGAGATCACCTTGCAGCATTTGTCTGCATCTTTGTAAAGGGAATGGCTTGCACCATTGGCTCCTCCCTCAGCAAGAGCTTCCTCGTTCTGTAGTTTTAGTAAAACATCATTGGATCAGAAACAGTAACAATAGTGAATGGGGAGTGATTCCATGGCAGCGAGATATAACAGATGGAAACATTAGTTAGAAACCTTTTGCCTCAAGCTCTTAATTGTTCGGTTGAGAGCGAGGGTATCAGCAGGAGTCAGTTTCACACAACGCTCCTTCCACTCTTCTATGAGCTTTTTAAGAACAGCAACACTAGCTTCCAAATTGTCGTTATAGAGATTCTCCTGTTCACACAACCCACAAGCCAGAAACACCAATAAGTAAAAATCCAGTCACATATTACTCATGTGGGAAGGAAAATAGAGTGAATCCTACCCAGTGCTTGCAGCAATCAACATTTTGGGTGATAGCCCAGATAGTGACTGCAGCCGCTTCCTTAGCTAATACGGGATTTCCTGTACCAAGACACATTACAAATTTTAAATGGAAGACGCAGAGGTAAGAATGAATTTAGAGTCGCAAGTTTTGCCCATACCTTCCCCTGCTGCTTTCAGAGTAAAAGTGAATATTTGCTGTGTGACTTGCTTCATTGCCTTGCTTCCAGGTGCACCAGCAAGAGACACTTCCTTCAACAAGGGATATATTGCCTCAAACCTCTCTGTAGCCTGCGCGTCAAACCATACTAGAGATCAATATCAACCCTCTCATGCATCATAATATTGTCTCGAATCCCAACATTACTTTACCTTCACTCTTGCGGATGACGCAGGGAATGTAAGTCTCATTAAGATCTCAAACGAAGGAGGTGGAATCAATCGCTCTCCCTTCCTCACAGCTCCATTAACTAGTATGGTCCGGGCCTTCGGGTAGGACAAGATCCTGAAAAAAAAACACAATAACCAAGATTAGATAACCATCACACATAAACAGGATACCGAATAGAAATTTCTAAACTCACCTCTCAACCAACTGAAGGATGAGATCCCTTGACTGAGGATTGCAACTCTTGCTACTGACAACCGGTAACAAGTTGTGCGCCCACGAGTACAAGCCTACTGATATATCACCTTGGGAGGCCTGTGCATGGTTACCAGGTAAGAGAATGCCAAATTCAGAAATCGGAATCTCTATCATAAGAAAAAAAAAGGGACATGTTTTGGTAGTCTTGGATCTTCGTTCATATCAAGATTAACACTGCACACACCTGAGCCATCATCCAAACTGTGACTGGAAGCTTATCCTGTCCTTGATACTTGGGATTCTCCCTCAAAGTTGGCAATATATTAGTTAGAGCATCAGGTTTCTTGCGCAATACCATTGCTACCGCCACAAATATTGCAACCTATTCATCAAAAGAATCGAAACAGGAATGAAGTTTTGTAACGCAATGGTAATTGAGAACAAGTTCAACAAGACCGACATTGATAAACTGATAAAAGAAGTGAGTAGTATGACCAAAGATCAGAAAGTAAAGTCGATACATGCATCCATCACAACCTACGCGATTTAATTATTATAATTCAGACCAACAAGAAGATAGAGTTTAGCTATCATAATACCTGAGATTTCGAAGTAGCCTGTTGTGCGCCCTTCTTACCGCCCTTGGCGCCTCCTTGTTGTACAGCCAAGTCCGCAAGAATAGCATCCAAGGCCCACAATACAAAGCCTCCAAGTGCCTCAATGGGACGTTGGTTGATCCAATCGGCTGATGTTTTATAAACAGCTTCAGGAATATGAGAGAGCGGAATCTGTATGAACAAAGAAGATTTCACCTCTACGAATAGAAAAAAAGGAACCCAACAGAAAACTACAATATGATTAGACAAGACACCCTAAACACAAAAACACAATCTTTGACTTTTAATTCGATTTACAATCATTGTAAGAGAGATTGCTCACATCGATCAGCTTGGACAAAGGAGATTCCTTGAACGTTTTCACCCACGGAAAATGAGCTGATGATACACCAGAGAGTGCTCTCCCAAAGTAATCAGCATATCTCTTTAGCTGAATATCTGGCTGATTCTCATACAGTTCCTATAATGGAATAAAAACCCGTAAATTCGATACCTTTATAAGCAATTTAGATCAGAGTTTCGACTAAAACGAACGGATCGGATCCGAATTCTACAATTCCATGCATGCACATACCGAAGCTTCGACGAGGAAAGCCGCGAGATTGGATGCGTCAATTTTAGCAGCAGCTTCTGCTAAAGTCACCTTTGGCTTCTTCTCCTTCTTGGGCTTCGGTTTTTTAGCTCCCTCCGCCTTCAAATTCTCCTTCCCCGCAGCGTTTTCAGCGTCGCTATCGTCGAAATCATACCCATCGTCGCCGTAACCGTTGGATCGGCGTTTAGATCTCGTCAGATCGGAACCGTCCGATGCATCAGCGGCCTTCTTCGCCTCGAGGATCCGTCGATGGCGATCTTCAGCCTGCTCCTCGAGGGAACGGAAGACGTTGTCTCCGTTCGCTAAAGCTCCGTTGGGAGCCACATTTCCGGCGATGCCATTCGCCGCCTGATCCGCCGGTTTTTGCTTCCGATTGCGTTTCGGGTACACTACCTTCTTCCACCCATGGTCGGTGTGAGAGTTTCCGTTGGTGTTCTCAAAGCCATTGTACTCCACGGATTCGATCGGATCCATATTTCCCTTGAGCTCTCGAAATTAATTCAAAAGTTTCTGTTTTTTTGGGTGGGTCTCTCCGGCGAGAAGAAAGAGAAACAGAACGAAAAAAGACGACGACGACAAGGAGAATACGGGATGACCGGACGGAGAGGTATAAATAGGTGAAAGGTGGGATATTAAATTTTAAAAATGGTCTTTCTTAGTTTTATTGAATTTGACACTTCACATTTGCAAATATATATTTTAACTTATATAAAGGGAAACAGATTTATTCACTTTTTTTTTTTTTTTTTTTTGGTTTGAGTCAACGTTTTTGGTTTATTTGTTTTATGGTTATCTATATGATGATCTGAGAACAAAAAAAAAAAGATCTGATTGATATTTTCCTGAATTTTTTTATAATATTAAAAATAATAAATAATCATGGATACTCTAGTTTTTTAAAATACTTTATGACATCATTATTAACAATTTTGTTGTCTTATCATATAATAAATGACTATTTTATTAAGATATATTTTTTTGAATTTTTTATAATATTAAAAATAAATAAATAATCATGGATACTCTGATTTTTTTTAAATTGTTTTATGTCATCATTATTATCTTTGTTGTTTTATCATATAATAAATGGCTATTTTATTGTTTATAATTATAACAGATGGATCTAGGTGTCTACAGTACACAATAATACACATTGCATAGGATCACAATATTGCACGAATAACCGGTTTACTCGCAAATCGCGACGAATCAATTCAATTATCCATATTATAGCCAAATGTTTATAACATGTTAATTCAAAGTTTATGGGGACGTAAAAAAAAAATTATCAAACCATTCTATATTTAAAAAGAGAAATGCCAATATGTTATTTAACAAAAAAAAATGGCCAATATGAGTAACTTCATATTTTGCTTCGAAATGCCCAAAAAAAAAATATAATAGTAAAAGTAAGGAATAAAAGTAGTTTCTTTGGATACTTCCACCTACAATGTAGTATTTGTCAATGAGCTCTATTCATTCATATTCGCATTTAGTAAATGTAGTCTATTCCTATACATATCATTTAATATCACCTGTTTTTTTTTTCCGTAGCCAGAACTACAAAAATAATGCTTTCAATGCGCAGGTAAACATTTCACTGATCCAGCTATCCCTGAGTTTTTTTCTTATTATTAAACGAATGAAGTTTTTCGAATTATTCTTTTTCAAAATGCATAAATAGAAAAGTTTGTATGAGAGAAAAGTTTCTGTGGAAAAAAAAGAGAGAGAAAAATGGAAAGTGGTGCCGGTGGTGGTAATTGGTGGAGAAGTTCGTGCAATAATATATACGAGAGTCAAAACACGTACTTTCTCATAAAGTCAACGAAATTAATCGGCTAAATAACAAAACCATTCATGTGGATGTTGTTAATTTGTCTTTTCTTCATCACTACTTACGTTTTGTGACAAATTAATCAAAGATTTTATTAGCGCGTTAACGTAACGTGATAATAACAACGTCTGCGATTTGCGATCACACTTGCATGTTGGTAAGCAATATTCTTGTTGAAGAAAAGTTTTGTTTTTGCGAAGTCTTTTGGGTTCACCATATTGCTTTACAAAAGCATTTGTTCAACATTTAGACCCATTATTGGTTGTGTGGCCCATTACGTTTTCCTAGGTCGAGGCTTCAAGCACGTCAGGTTTCTACTCGGAAACAGCATGACGATCTATATATCTCAACACATACATGAGTTTTACATTTAACAAATCAAGATCGCAAACACGTAATCCAATCTGCAACATACGAAATACGTAGATGGTTGCGGAATATTCGACGTACAATCAAAACGTAACAACTTCTACATCTTTTTCTCTCTCTTTTTTTCTCAAGATTATGCAGCCTTGATATAATGATATATATCTAATCTTTCTTTTTTTGTTAAAGTTATCTCTAGCTAAACAACAACAACGCCCAACTTTGACAAAAAGGGATGTAAAACACACCAAAAAAAAAACTGTTGAGATTTTAATCTCGAGAAAAATGAAATTCGACCATTGGAAATAGATGGCCCCAAGGGGTTTGCAAGAGTCAATAAGGATCGAATTCCCACGCCATCTACCGACCAAATTAAATCTAGTGGATAATGTAGACACATTTAAGGTCACATCCGACTTCAATATCTTTTGCCAACAGTTTTATTACTAAACTGTAAACATGAGATCGAAATTCTAAAATCCCATAAATTATTACTATAGTAGGTTTGTATTACAAGAACGCAGCCGGATTACTCTTAAACTATGATACATCATGGTTAGGTAGTATAGATTAAAAAAATCTTTACCAGATATTGAAAAATAAAGTACATTGTTGATTGATTACTACTGTTCTATATAGTACAGATTGATAATATAGAAAACAGTTAACATATTGAAAAATAATTCAAAATTATCGAAGCTAATGAATATGCAACCCGACAATTCCTTAATTTGCGCCTAAAACAAACTAACTTTCTTAGTTGTTAAAATTCGATTTTATTTTTTAATCTTACTTGCTTAGTTGTTTTAGGCGCAAAAAAAACATAAGCTTTTAATCACTTGCATTGTTAATCACTTGCAAAGGCGAAATATGTTAAAAAAACATAAGCTTTGCAATTTTCTCAATTCTGGTAATCTAAACTCAATTTGCAGACAAACCAAAAAAAAAAAGAACTTGGAATGGAATTATATGAAGAACTTGATCAAAAGCTCAAACTGAGAAAATCAAAGAACAGAGAGTAACACAGGTTTTAACGGAACATAAGAAGCAAATCATTATTTCGAAATGAGAAAACAAAGAAACAAAGACACAAACCAGTCTGAGCATTTCAAGACAAGTTTAGTGAGTAGTCACTTTAAGACTGAAAGATTTGTTAATCCAGGCCTTAAAGCTTCCACCAGCTCTTTTTCTAGAGCCATTAATGGGGAAATTCGATCTTCCATTGCCTTCCTCCACCTTCTTCTCCTCTGGTTTCTTACACAGCATAAAGTTCCTCGCTCCTAGCAACCCAATCGCTTCCCATGGACTTAGTGCTGCAACAACAATATCATCAATACATTACAAGAGCCAAAAAGCATTCAAATTTGGTAATTGAGATTCACAAATATCTCACCTTCAGGTCCAACCATGGGACAATAGAAGAGGAAATCGTTGAAATCGGATCCGAGAATCGGAAGACGACCTTCACGAGCGTAACATTTAAGAGCAGTGTCGATCACAGAAGCAACGAGATCTCCTTCATTAGCCACGAACCGGATCGGACCGGCGCTACCCAGAAACGTGACGCTGATTAAGATTCTGTTTCCCTTAACCATCTCTTTCTTCTTCTGCTTGTTGTACAGCAACATCTTCGAAATACCAAAATCAATCCCAAAACAAAACACAAAAAAATCAGATGCAGACAATGTTAATCGGAAAAAGAGGATCAAAAGGGATCGGGGACTTTTAGGGTTCTCCGGCAGCGAAATCGGAAGGGGGAGATTCAGGGGTCGACGCCGAGGCAACGGTAGTACCAGCCTTCTTTGCAAGATCCGAATGCGAAAACAGAGTCTGAAGACAGAGGGATGAAGAAGCTCGCCCTTTGGATTGAAAGGGAGAGCCTAAAATTACCACAGATCGGACTAGCTTCCACCATTCACAAACGCCACCGGAGATTAAAAAAAATTGATTGACGGAGAGAGATCCCGACGAAGCCGGTGAGGATAAAGCGCGGGAGAGATTTGGGATTCTCCGGTAGCGAGAAGCGGAAACTTGAGGAAGAAATCCGAGAGGAGGAAGGAGAGGAAATAAAAAAGGGAAAATCGAATTGTGAATTTTGGTGAGAGGAGAGGCGTGTAGGTATATAAATCCAGAGATTATACAAACCTGTTAGGGCTTAGGGTTCTTTTCGGAAATTTCAAATTTTGTGAATTTGGGGATTTTGGATTGTATTGTATTGTATTGTATTGTTGTATTCTGTTGTCGTGTCGTTTTTTTTTTTTTTTAATTAAGCGCGTTTTTATTTAGTTATGTTTCTTTTTTGTAACGGATTTTCAAATCGTATTTATTTAGCTCTCGTATATATTATGTTAACCAAAGAAAAGAAAAAAGGTTTCAATCCATGACATTTGTAGAGTTAATAAATGAAGGATTGTCCTTAATTAGTGTGATTTTTGTTGATATCTAGAAAACAAATTTAACTTTTTCTCCATCTTTAGATGTATTTTTCAAACCAATTGACGGGATCTATTCAAAAAACACATGCATGGGACTCTATTTTGAAGACCTAACATATAATATTATCATCATTTTGAAGTTGAAATCAATTATAATATGCTTTTGCTATTATTAAAAAGACTTGACAAAGTAAGAAAAACGCATAGTTACGATCACAACTCAAAAGATAAAACGTAACACGAACTATGCAAACACCAAACATTGAACACACTTGCATACTTCAAATCTAGATAAGAGAGCACACTCACATTACCGACACATGTATACACAACACCCAAAGACATCACATAAACATAGATATTTTTGATAACACACTCTCACATCACATCTCTTCAAGTCTAGAGATCGAGAGCACATTATTGAGACATGCATACAAAACACCAAAAGACATAAAGATACAAAACACCCAAAGATATACAAACAGATGGATAAATAGATAGATGGATAGATGATACTGAACGAGTATTATATCTGTTCCTTAGCCAAGAGCATTTCGTCGATGTCTTTGGACATTTTGACAAACACTCGGAGCAGAGTCTCCGGGTGAGCCACGTTCTCATCAATCCTCTCGTATTTCATGTGAGATTTCACCACACCTCCAAGTCCTCCTTGCTTTGCGGTCACCTGGAGCGTGAATAGGAAGCTCTTGAACTCTTTCATCAGATCTCCCTCTATCACCCTGAACTGAATCATATTGTTCTTCGGCTCCACTGCCTCGATCCTCTGTGTAGCCACCTTTGGCTTCCCATCTGCACCCAAAAACGCATAGTTTTACCAATCAAATCTTCTATCTTCTAGCAAATTATAGATATATGAAGTTTTGCTTACCATGAACATAGTTCCAGGTGAGGAGAGTGCCTACTCTTCCCATCTCTCCATCATGCACATCACATCGCTGAACGTTTTCAGGAGTGGCCTTCGACACATCTTGTGGTCTTGCCGCGAACATGTGGTAGAATTTCGTCGGTGGAGATTTGATCTCAATATCTGCCTCAAGCTCTCCTTGTAGAGAAGACTTCAACACCGCCTGTGCCATTTTTTTTTCTCCTGATGATTATAATTCTATACGTCTCTAGTTTAGTTATATATAGAAAGTGCTTAATGAGAGTTAGTGAATCATAGCCCTTTTTATAGAGGAATTGGAACGAGCAACTGTGAATATGGTGGTTTAATTAAGTTTGTTTTCTGGTGACGATTTTTTATTCCTTTTAATTTGATAATTTCATATACTCAGGTAATTTGAATTAATGTCGAATTATATCTATCATAATTTTCCCTATCTTAAGATTATTATTTGGTAATGCATGCTTCCGTTTTCATATTAATCCTGGTAAACATTGGGTTATTAGGTATATTAACTATGTCTTAATCTTATATCTACTTAATTATTCTTTTTATGATGTTAAACTATCGACGCGTTAAACCATAAAAGGAAATGAATTTGAACATAAAATAATTGTTGAACATTGTACTTCGAGTTGCAAGAATCATTGTGATAAAAGAGAGTTGTGGAATGTTGGAATATATATATGCATGGTCCCTTACGCAAGTGAAGGAGTAAGACCAACTTTATTGATAACAACAACAAGATTCTTATACTCTATAATCATTGTGGGAACGGAATTTAATGGTGTGTCTCCGCACCAAAGGCTACTCAACAAAGATAAGAGTAGACCATCTACAGAAACTTAATAAGAAAATTGATATCATGATTTTAGGGTCGCGCATTACAGACTGCAACGAACAAATTGTATCTACAAATAGCTTCTACTAACAACATGGCCTGTACATATATAGACATTGGGAAAAATTTGGAGTGTTATCTTGTATTTGTAGCTCTCGTATTAGTTCAACGCAATCTCCTCTAGAGAGATTAGAGCTAAGAAAGTCGCTGGTAGCTGGGATGAGTGAAACGAAAATAAGTATAAAAAAAACAATAAAGTGACAAAAAAAAAACAATTTTACGTAATATTGTTAAGGTAAATTTGACAAATACAGAGCATGTAAATTTTAAGGTTTATTAGGTAACTAGCACTTTCTCAAGCTTCATTTGTTATAGTAACACTTTTGTCACTACGCAGATATTCCTATATTATATAAAATTAAATTTTGTTTATAAGATAATAATTTACTACGTATATACTTTATTTTTGTTCTGATTTAGGATTTTCATAATTTTGTTCTTCTTGTTTATGTCGATTTGGGTCCTTCGACGTTGTGTTTTAGCTCATTGCTGATTGACTGTGAAAAACTTAAGTTTAGAATGGAGTGGTAAATTAATGTTCGTTATCTAAATGTGGTCTCGAGGAATAGAAGTTGCTATCAACTTGTTAATACTATACATCCAAAAAAAGAAGACCTATTCAACTTAATCCTAACAAGATCCGAAGCATATTTAAAATGATCCCTCAAGGAAGATGCTTGAAAAGGACAGAAACTTAAAAAGAAATAATTACGGAGGAAAATGTCAGAGACTTGAGCCAAATATACATCATCCGCCTTAAACCATCCCACCTTAATATTATTTGCTCTTACAATGTTCAAAGGCAAAGAAAAAGACAAAAGGAAGAGAGGTTTAGGGAAGAGACATGGATGATATTGTGGGACTTCTTAGAATCCGAGTCAAAAGAGGAATGAATCTTGTTAGTCGAGATTCTCTTGGCAGCGACCCTTTCGTCGTCATAACCATGGGTCCTCAGGTACTCTTTGTCTCTAACTCTCGCGCTTATTTCATCTTCTGGGTCTCACATGATCAACCCTGGTTCATGTTAGAAAAGATCGACCTTTTATCCTCTGCGATAGATTTTGATTAGCGCACTCTTCTCTTTTAAGATTTTGATTAGGAAACAGGGTAGATTCCTATTTTAAATGGCAACAAAAATCAGACCTTTAGAAATTTTTGCAAACTAATCACAGTGTGTGAACGGATTTAACAAACCTTTGTGAATCAATCAATTTGGCATAGAAACTGAAGACTCGCGGTGTGGAAAACAACTGTAATCCAGAGTGGAACGATGAATTGACGCTTGCAATCAAAGATCCTAATGAACCTGTGAATCTCGTGAGTTACTTCAACATCTTGTTGATATATTTATTCTTAGTTGTGGGATTGTTGAAAAAAAATAATAATTAAGGTTCACTCTAGTCTCTAGTGAAAGGAAATTGCCAACATCTCTTAAAATGAGTTTTTGATTTTTTTTTTTTTTTTTTAATGTGAGATTATGTAAAGTAGATCATGTTTGGATTGTTTTCTTTTGTATTCTCTAACAGGAAGTGTATGATAAAGATATGTTCACTTCCCATGACAAAATGGGAGATGCGGAAATAGACATCAGAACCTTTCTTGAGGCTCAGAAAATAGGTATTCAAGAACTTTCTGATGGAACCGAGATCCAAAGAGTGAAGCCGAGTAGAGACAATTGCTTGTCCAAAGATAGTAGAATCATCTCCAGTAACGGAAAGATCGTCCAAGACATGATTCTTAGGTTGAGAAATGTTGAAAGCGGTGAGGTTGAGATTCAAATCGAGTGGATCAATGTTCCAGGGTCAAGAGATCTTTGAAGGAGAGATATGGCAGAAAAGAAAGTGTGTATGAATTGTACTGAGTGTGATAATGCACAGGAGAAGCTCATTGCAACACAAAAGTTACATTAATTATATATATTGCAACTAACAACATAAAACGTACATAAAAAAGATTTGATTTATTTATTTAACAAGGAAACTCCGAGACATTCATGATTCAGACAGTAACCTAGTCTCGAGGTCGCGCGTGTAATCTGCAATGAAGGCAGTGTATTTTGTAGGGAGAGGAACGTCGTCGTATAGCTTCTCGTATTCCCATGTCCACTTGGCAATACAAACTCGATCATCTTTAGGAACAACGTCAAGTGTTATCTTATAGCTCTTGTATTGTTTCAACACATCTCCTTCAAGAGCTAAAAAGGACACCGACTTGTTCTCTTCATCTACTTCTATCTTCTCCTTTATCTGCTCTATCTTTCCATCTATAACAAATCCAAAGTGGTCGATGAAATTCAAAAACTAGAAAAAACTAAAGAAGAGGAAAAACCAAATTTTCATTTTTTCAAGATTCCGAAAAAAAAAGAGGAGAATTAGTTAATGATTACATACCTACGATGAAATTCCATATCTGAATGGAGGAGTTAGATTTGGGATCGTCACGATGAACAGAAACTGCCTCTGTCTTGTCCGTATAATTTCCTTCTTTCTTCTTGAAAGTGTTGAAGAATCTTTCGGCCGTCATGTTCACTTGGATCTCTAGTTCGAGAGTCTGGACACCAGCCATGAGTTGTCAATTGTTGGTCTCTCAGGTCTGAATTATCTTCTCTTTACCATAACAAAGAGACTAAAGAGAAAATCAAAGCAAAACAAAAAAATAAACATAAAAAAGCAAAAAAAAAGTGGTGGTATCTTACGTAAGTTTCTTGATAAGCTGCCAGCCTGCCACACGTGGTCTGACTTTTGAGGCCTTGAACACGATGGTTGGCTCGACATTTTTCCATTATTTTACTGTTAGATGATTAACTCTTCGTGTAACAATTGATTGTTAAGTGAACAGAAGAATTTTTGTTACGGATCATTTTAGGATGAAGAATAATACTTTAATTTTTTAATATTTTAAAATATCCTTATAAATTATTTTTTAATCCGGTAACTTGCTACAATAGGTAGCCTTAAAACTCGACTAGCAAAACATTATGGATGCTAATGGAAAAAAAAAAAAAAACCTGATTTGTTAGAGCAGTTGGTAGCCTTTAATTTAGACGATGCTAATAAGTACAGAAAAAAATGATATGCAACGTACAGCTTGCAACGTACCACATGAAACGCAACGTCAACACTAGAACACCAGATTTCAACAATTATATAACACATACACTCGCGCACAACTCGTCTTAATCTAACGATAGAACATATTATTGAGAAGAACATGCAAAAACATATATAAAATATACTTAAAGAAAAGCGTTCTCTTTCATTCCTCGGACAAGAGGTGTTCGTCTATCTTTTTGATCATCTCGGCAAAGAAAGGGAGCAAAGTCTCAGGGTGAGACACATTCTCATCAATCTTCTCATAGTCAAAGTGCCACCTCACAATACTTCCACTCCCTCCTTGCTTAGGGGTAACTTGGATCGTAATCACAAAGCTCTTGAACTCTTTCATTATATCTCCCTCTAAAACCCTAAACTTTATCATTTTCTTCTCCGGCTCCACTACTTCTATTCTCTCTTTCGCTAGAATTATCTACAAGATGTCTTTATCTATGAATTGGAGTGCTCTTGGTACTTGGTGTACGTTGAGATTTGTGTCTTATTGATTGATTGGTTTGGTACTTGGTGTACGTTGAGATTTTTCTCATGAACTACACAACACACGGAGCTTGATATTTTATATAATTATAAACAATCCATTTACAACACAAAGAGTCAAGTTGTTGAAAAAAAAACATGGAACCAAGTTTAAAAAAGTTCACCTACAAGTATTTTTAACCTCAACCTCCTCGTGGCTGGCAGAAAAAAAAAACACACCAAAGTTCATCAATCCAAACCTAAACTAATTGTTATAATAATCTGATTGGTATAAAAATTTCAATATCGAATTACTCAAACACTTCTATACTTCTAATAACACGAAAATATATATATTTGGAAATCATGGTGGCTATGTGTGAAGCTGCAGGAATCAAGGCCTTAAGGATGGAGAGAAGAAGTTGGTTGATGAGAGTTGTCGAATTCTGGAATAAGATCCCTTGGATATGGAGAGAAATTATGCCAATGTGTGGATAACAAATTTTAAATATTCTTATTTGACAAAATCGGTTCCATTATTGATTTATTGACCACTTCCATCTACCAAAGATAAGAGTACAACAATTTAAGAATCTTTGATCTTCTCAAAGCTCGGAAAAACTGATAATGATTTCTATAAGCATGATTAACGCAAAATTTTGCACATTTTAATGTCGTAATCATTTTTAGGGGAAAAATGTTGGTAGTCTCGAGCTCATCTATGTTGCTGTCTACAATGAGGATAACATATCAATCAGTAAAATGTAAGAAAGCTTAAATCAGAAGTGAAAAAGGTTTTAAAAATGTGAAAAAGCTCAAAAATGTTTTTTTTTTTTTTTAAAGGTTTAAAAACTGACCGACAAAAACACAAATCCAAATCCAAATCAAAAACCAACGTCAAAAAACTCCAATGATGACGTTTCATAACACATGCATGCATTTACCACAGACTCCAGCTAGCTTCATACGTTGGGCTTGGCCCATATAATTGGCCCACACGTAAGCCATGCATGAACCGGATTTACGTTCTGGGTTTCGGATCAAACCGGTATATTAACCGGTCAAACCGGGCCGGGTAACTGCAACAAGAATAAGATTATGAGAATATGCCGTGGAGTAAGAGAGAGTTAAGGAAGAAGATTCCTGAGTCATTCGCATCTCTCTCGCTCTGATTCTCTCTGCTTCTACTCGCTCCTTCTTTCTATTTATGATATATTTCTTTACAACTCTTCTCCTCGAGTTTTTTTTTTTTTTAGTAACGACCATTCGTACAGGTTCGATCTCTCTCTCTCTCTCTCTCTCTCTCTCTCTCACTCTGTCTAAGCTGCTTGGTCGGATTGTTCTCTGCTCGAATCGTGTTTATAGTTTTGCATGTTTTCTGTGCAATAATTTCCATAGCTAAGCAAAGTTTCCTAATTCATTCAAATGCGTTATGATCTGGAGTTGAAATTCCTTGGTATGTTATTCTTTTTTCATCAGTCTCGATCGTGGTTCTTTCGTTCTTTGTTGGTTGAATTGAAATCTAGAGTATCGATTTATCAACTCTTGGCCTTTATTTACATACTCTGGCGAAAACATAGACTACCAATATTGGTTGTGTTTTTGTTTTTTTGGTCTTCAGAACAGAACAAACAGGAAACAGCCAAGTAAGTAATTGCTTTGCTGGTGAATAGAGAGGCTTTGGTCTGTGTAGTTTCCCACAAGAGCCAATGAGCCTACAAACTGGAACAAAGTCAAGCAACGCCCTTGAGGGGATCCATGGGGTTCATGTGGTGTCTCATTCGCCCTTCTCATACGACCGGACAACTCAAGTCGGTGACTTTCAGACCAACTGCAAATCCTCAGACATGGAATCAAATCAGAGACTGTTCATCGAGTAAGTGACCGGCTCGGATGTTCTTAGTTCCACCATTTGATGATAGTCCTGACTTTGTTTCTTCTTTTACAGACGTGTTTGGCAACAAAGACCTCCATGTCTAAGGCCAATCCATTGCAGCATCCGAGGTACTCTTAGAAACACTGTGAATACTTTCCATCGTGTTCTTGATCTCTGTCATTCCAATCTCAGGATGGCTAATTGATTTCTTTGGCAGGTGATCAGAGTGTCTTAGAAACAGCTGCTAACGTGGCTACCTCGCTTCCTTTCATCCTCCTCGGAATGCAGGCACCGAGGTAAAAATGTTCTGTCTCTATCAAACTCATCTTTAGTAGAGTTTCTCTGACGAAGAACTATGCAAATGTAGGAAGAATCTCAACACAAAAGTGTACGCAAACTCCTTAATTGGAGTTGGGATCGCATCGACTCTGTATCATGCCTCTAGGGGAAAGTTGAGGAAGTACCTGAGATGGGTAGATTACACAATGATTGCCACAACAACAATAGTAAGTTCCACTCAACTCTTCTTAACCCCATTCTTCCTTCAGCCAACTTAACCAGAAAGACTCGGTTGTGGTTTGTAATAAAGTGTCTCTCAAGGGCTCTAAGGAATGAGAACTCAAAGTTCTTGATGGCTGCATCAGCTTTAGCTTTACCGTTTCAGCCTCTCATGGTCTCTGCTGTTCACACTGGAATGATGGAGGTACTAAAACTCAAACACTCCACAATCCTTTATCATAAATCAGTCGTTATAATATAACTCAAGGACACATTTGACTCAGGTGGCATTTGCTAAAAGAAGCTTAAAGGATCCAGATCTTAAAACAGCTCATAACGTACACAAGATGTCATCTTTACTAGGAGGTGCTCTGTTCATAGCTGATGATATCTTCCCTGAGACACCTTTCCTTCATGCCGGTTGGCACCTTGCTGCAGCCATTGGAGTCGGAACATGCAATAAGCTTCTTGAGTAGATCAGATTTCAAAATCGTTATGGGACTTCTCTATTCTTGGAACAGTAGGAACAAAATAGTTTCTCTGTTACTCCTAATCAGCCGACATAACTAAGAAGCATCGTAGCCAGTGATATCTATGTAAGAAGTAGATGGTATTGCGTGATCATGTAAGAAAATTATTGAATTATTGTTAAGCTCGTTGCCAACAATGAAACGAACAATCGAAAAGGAAGAACAGTCATACAATCGATCCAAAAGTCGAAATTAATAGACAATAGCAGAACAAAAAAAAACATAGAGCAATCATCAAGTAAGAGACTTTCTCTCTCTAACACATCAATTATGAAGAGTAGCGATGATATCTTCATCTCTATACAAAAGGAACCTGCAAAGAGACGAAAGAGACGGTAAAAATGAGACGTGGAGAATAGAGAAGGCATTCTCAGAGTAAATACATCGAACAGGTTAAGAACATACTCTTTCTCTCCAAGCTTGACTTGAGTTCCACCGAATTCAGGCAAAAGGACACTGTCTCCTTCCTTAACCGAAACCGGAATCAGATTCCCAGCTCTGTCCCTCGCTCCAGGTCCAACTGCTATAACCCTCCCGGAATTCATCTGCGTTCGATCAATTCCAGCAAAATTCATAGTCGATCAATCGAAAATACGGGTAAAAATTTAGTCTTTCAATGAGCTGATCAAGAGCGGCTCTTTACCTGAGAAGATTTCTCCGGTAGGAGAATGCCGGAGACGGTTTTCGACGGTGGAAGAATCTTCTCGACCAAGACACGGTTGAGTGTCGGGATCAAGCGCTTCGCCATTTCTAGTTAAATCGACGACGATGGAGATCGGATTTACAACGTTGATCGGTTTGAGTTACGCAAGATTTAGCTGGTAAAATGAACGTTCTAGGGTCTAGGGTTTAAGCAGATGATAGTGTTGGTGGGGATTTTGTCCGGTTTTATGGTGAATTGGACGTTTTTATCCGGCCCAGGCCCATTCCTTTTTCCATTTCATTGCCGTGTTCATGTTCAATTATTTCTCTCAAGTTAGCTCTTACTCCTTATGCCTACATCAGAGGACTTTTTACTCGGTAAGACTTTTTACTTTGTGATTTGGACAGTTGGACTATGCTTTGTTTTCACCAATCACAGAAAATAAATGAAATTTTCTTTATAGTTTGTGAATTCACGGAACACTGGAAAAGAATGGTAAAAAAAACTAAAAAAGAATTGGTCCTCTAGAATTCATTTTCCTTTATTTTTGTTTTTTATTTTTATAATTTCACTTTTTATTCTAAAATTTTACCACTCTTAAGATTGCTGATTTTTTTTTTATAGAGAAACACTGAAAATAAACATAAAGATAATCGTAAAGACAATCGATGTCTAAATTGAAGGAAAAGTAAATTTGTAGAAAGGCACAATGCACGTATGTAAAGCATTTTAAACCACAGAGGTTCGAGCGAACAACCTTGAATGTAACATTACTGTACATTTGTGATGTCTAACAAATTATGGTTAAATTAAATGACTAGACTACGAAATGAAAACAATGATTTAAAATATTGAATTCAACGGAAAACCAAACCGCGTTAAACTTTACCAAAAATGGATTGAAATTTAATTCCATTCTTAATTATATTAATTTTCACAACCAAGAAACTGACAAAGAATTGTATATTTGGTGATGTTCTAACCAAACTATTCAAAGTTTTTTGAAGAAAAAAAAAAGAAGGGAAAAAGTGTCAGTGACACATGGAGGTCCCTAAAGTGGGCAAAGAAGATAACAAAGCAACACGCGATCAAATACGCTCAATGTGTCTTTTAGGAGGTCCCAAGAGTATAATAAGTATGGGGCTTTAGATCTCATGACAATGATGAATAAATGGATAGGCACTATAGCATAAAGATTCACCTTATCATCCTAGAGTCTAAAGAAGAAGAAACAAAAAAGAGGATCTTGACACTAACATCGTATCGAATCTCATCAACATCTTTACTTGTGTTCCGGCCAAAGCCACCATAAATGAAAAGAGAACATTACAAGCCTTGCATCGTGCACCGACCTTTATTTATTTTAGGAAAATTTGGAGAAGAAAGCTAATAAGACAAGGGCCAAGTTTCAAACCATTGGTGGGTTTGAAGCTCTTTCTTGATGCGCCACGTTATTATAAGAAAAAGTGACTTGTTTTCAATTGATGCTTGATTACGATTAGGAAACTATAAATCGAAAGTTATCCACCAAACGAATGGCACACATGGTTTCTGTAGAAAATTTGTGTTTGATTTTCATGAGTGCTATTCCTCTCATTGTCAACTGCTCGATCTCTTGGTTGTTAATTCGAACGAAAAGTAAAGTGCTTGGTTTCATTATCACTTGAATGTAAAGTCTGAACTGTTGATTCACGTCAACTATTGAGAAAACTATGTACGTATCTTTAGCTATATATATATATATATATATATATAATATGTATCAAAGTCAGGTTAGTGATAACGGATGAAAGTTACAAGATGTCCAGAACAGTATGAAAATTTTAATCCATGAAACGATTTTATCTTAGAATATATATAATACAATACTACAATATGTAAAGTTATGCTACTGATTCATCGGAATTCTTACGTTGAGTTGGTGTTTTCTTGACTTGATCAATATTACATTATGCTGTTATGTTTGCCTCTCATGAGTTCATTTGTTATAATATTCTTGTGGAATACTCGGATGACAAAGCTTTGTTTTCTCTTTTGTTAATAACATACATTTTTGACAAATTTAAATCTGGATGCTAAGTGTTAACACATCGACGATAATTAAATACAAACCAATACGCTATTTATCTAGGTTGAATGACGACAAAGCTTATGCGATATAGTACTGAAATAACAAAATTTTAACTTGCAGCATCTAAAACTGTCAAATATACCCTAATGTAAAAACACACGCACACAAGATTGTTAGGACTTCAGTTTTCAGAGTCTTCTTCAAATTCGTTTATAACTATAAGCGTGTAGAAATTAAAACTTGTACAACCATTTTTTGTCGCATTCACGTATCGGGAAGATAAGAAAATGATAGAAACAAAATCCAAAATTGTATCACATCAGGATAATGAACAGACAAAAACATATCAAAGACAAATTTGTCTAAGTTGTTAGATGTACTAGCAAGTTGGTTCAGAATAGGGGTTGAAAGAAGGTTGAAAAATAGTTGAAAATAAACTAAAAAATCGAAGGACAGATCTTGTCACGGTCTCAACTCTCAAGTCCAATTATTATTTGGACGATTGGGTCACCGGTCAAATTATATGGTTGCAACTTGCAAGGAGATGGACATTGAACTCTTCTTTTTTCACTCCCAGATATATTTTTTGATTAATTATTAATCTATATATTCAGGTTTGAAATATATATGGAAAATGACATAGCAGTAGTAACAAGCTGGTAGTGTCATTTGACATGTTGTGCCACCTTCTCATTTTCCATATAACTCTCTTCTTATATGCCAACTAAATGGTATCAAATCAATATCATCAACTTAATTTTTCTTCGGAAAATACCAAAAAGTCACTAGAAATATAAAAAATACAAAAAAGATGATATATACTGGGATTCTTTTCTTAAACCTAAAATTACCAAATAACTTGTCGGTTTTGTGGTTGCACTTGTTCACTTTCTTTTTTCTATGTAATTCAATTTTTGTGGTTGCACTTGATCAAATAAACAACTTTCTTTCTTTGATGTGCAATTAAACCAACTTTCTTGTCGATGTTTTTTTGTTAATGTCTTTCATTTTTAAGAAGATAGTCTGTGATTGCTTGTGAAACTTTTTTGGGTTAAGGATTGGTTGTGGAACTCTTTTCACTTAACTATTATAAGTGGATATTAAATATGTAGTAGAATAGTAAATTCTATTCATTTATGGTGTGCACAGGTGGTTAATTAGTTATTCAGTGGTTTTTGATTAATAACCAAAGATTCTTTTATACTCTCTTTGTTCTTTTTTGTTTAATGTTAAAACTAATTATCGATGTTTTGTTTAGAAACAAATAATTTCTTAACTTTCGTGTTGTTATTTTACAAATCTTATAATTTTGGAATGATGGAGTATTAGAAAATGAGTTTCACGTTTTAGAAATGTAGCAGTTTAATTTTTATCTTGTAGTTTTATGTCTTTTGAATAAAATGATCGAGATATGTGAATAATTAGGCATTTTTCATGTATGTCGTGATGATAGATCATTATTTTTTTCTTAAATGAATGTTAAATTATTCATACAAAAATTATTTTTTACTATAGATGCGACTTTTAAAAAAATAATAAAGAGAAAGGTTATAGAGTTGAAAGGGAAAACAGAGTACAATCAGAGCAATTTAGATCACTATTAGTTGTTGGTAAGAAATTATATATACATACTTTTATATAATAATAAAAATGAAGTATATTAAAAAAAAAGGAGAAAAACAGTCAATTAAAGAGACAATGACTATACAAATATACGATATTGGCAATTCTCCACAAATGGAAGTGAGACCCGTTTTAGTTCAATAACTATCAATTTTACTATTTCCATGATAAAATTTCCTCCCACGGAATCTTGAATAATACCCAGCGTAACTTTATTTTAAAAGTACCTTGTAATGTATTAATGATTGTGTTGTTAGAAACCTATCGACCCTTATACGAATTCAGAGTTTCAAAAGAACAAGATGACCTCTTTATTTTATCGGTATACATAAAACTTAATGCACACCAAGTGGTGTTTTGTCCAGTAGCATAAGCATGCATGTTCTTTCAAAAGAGCGAGAAGTTGTGCTCCCATAAATTCAATCTATTTGAGAGATGTTAAGAAGATTATACAACGGTCACTTTTTTGGGATAATAAAAAAAAAAACCCTAATGAAAACAGAACACTATAGATTCCTTAATAAAGTCGATGAGTTATTTAGTGGAGGAATCCAAGAGATTCATGTGTCATTCTGAAATATGGGTCGTTTAAGGCAGAGTGTTTACTTTATCTGGTTTTGTCCGAATTTTATTATATAGCCAAATATATGAATATAAAATCTTTATCGACGATTCAATATTGTTTAAACCTCGCAGCACATAAAAGTAACTATGAATGGCTACTAATTTATATATGATAGAATAATTTTCTAAACAAAAAAATATATATTGATTTAAACTAAACTATTATTGTGGATAGATGGACCAACTAATGGAGCCACGGGAATACAATCCACAAGTGCGCAATGTGCGTAGTGCTTTCACATTAACTTCATTCCAAAAGAGTTGGGCATCAGATCCTTTTTTTCAATGAATAACTCCATTCACGTCCCGTTACTTTTCCCTTTTGTTTCTTTCTTGTTCTACTACTACTATTCTTTTTCTTTATTTTAATTTGATTTGGCCTACCAATATCCATTATAATATAATAATTAAATATATATATATCCATTATAACATTCATTTACTTGTATTATTTGACTTCGTGTTCATTACCCTCCCCTGTGACGTAGCACACGTTTTCATAGATCGTTCCCATTGTTTTATTATTTCTCTCTAAAGATGGTTAATTTTTTTCGCACCTAACCAAAATAACGTTATAAGAAGAAAAAAATTAGCTACGTTTTTACGTTGTAATGATGACAATGAAACGAGGGGTTAGAAATGCACATTATATACATAAAAGATTAAAACATATAGAATCTATGTTCATAAGTATAAAATATTACATTCATATTATGAAAATTAATTTATGGTAGTTAATGGTTGTGGCCTTGTGGGGGTTTAGTATGGATGTCGAGGTGACGAACCAAAATTCCGAAACATAATTTGAGAATCTTTTGGACAATATATTATATATGCATGAAGCCATGACGAATGGACATGTATTAGTATGCATTAGTATGCATTCATCTGATCTGAT